TGTTTTGGGTTGATGTTTTCATTTACCTCAAGTAATACCTCTATGCTGTAACATTTTTGCTGGTAGTAAAGAATGTTTTCTGTTGCTGTTGTGTCAGTTTAATATACATCTATAATCTAAATCACATATAAACAGTAAGAACTAAAGTTTTGTCTTATACAGGGGTATCCACCTACCTTGAAAGTGCTATCAAGTGAAGTGCCTTCCATTATTTTAGAAATGTGGCATACCTCTGTGGCCTTCTTTCTTGAAGTGGATTGTTTACCTATATATTTTTGGAAAATCTTTTGAGTGATATTGAGGAACCTACATGGTTCCATTCCATTCCCCCTCGATTTATAAATTGAATTTTCTCTCTTAGTGTAACATATTTATTCCTCTGTCATTCTGGTTAATGACAAACCCCTTTTTAATGCTGGAATCGTTGGCTTCTCTCCAAAGGTATCAAGCTTCATTAAGGAGCAGGCACAGGAACAATTTCAGATGATAGTTATTTCTCTAAAGGAAGAATTTTATTCCAGAGCAGATGCATTAATTGGAGTCTGTCCAGAGGTACATAACATCTTCATTATAACTCTCCTGTGATTTCATTTAAATTAGCTTCATATGACAATTAACTTACTTTTTAAAAATATCAACTACTGTTACTGTTTTTCTTTGGAACACTGATCTCTGCAATTCTTTTAAAATGCAACTTTAAGTATGTTTTTGTTGGGCAACTCAAACATTTGGCTGTTATATAGACTGAGTAAGAAGGGATCCTTCTGGTAACCTGCAGTACCTTATGATCAGTTGTGGCATGCTTATGTTAATAATATATATGCTGAATTTTGTAAATTGATATAGCCCTTTCCCTTTTCAGCAAGATGACTTCATGTTTAGTCGGGTGTTCACACTAGATCTCACTGCATATCCAGATACTGAGGACAATGAAAGAAGAAAGAAACAGAGACACAGCTCCACACTGGACTAAAAGCTTTGATAGTTTCAGGGCTATCTTTGGATGAAGATATATTAGAATTTCTAAGGTCTACTCTGTGACAAGTTTGCATATTGTTACCAGTATGTTCATATACAAAATCCATGAAAAATTTCATTTGAATTTGGGAAGGAACAAATTAATGTTATAGAGCATAAAAGCATGTCCCCATTTTGTTAAAAATTAAAAGTCAGCTTTTGAAAGACATCACTGAAAGTGCTGGATTCTGGTGACTAGAGTCTAATGTCTTTAAAATGTTTGTTTTCAAAGGAGCGATTGCAAATGTCATGATAATATAAAATCTGGTAAATTAAATGTGTAACACTTTGCTGTTTACTGGTTGCTGCATTAATTTTCAATAAGTGTCTGTTCTTAAAATGTTTTTTCTGTAACTTCTAGTTCCTTAAAGTTGAAACAGATGGATTTTTGTTCTAGTTACAAGGCTAGATTTGAGACAGTTAAGATGTTGGAAAAAGTTGCAGCACATTTTTACTCTTTAATCTTACAGGAATGTTTCAGCTTTGTTGTGGTTAAAGAAACAAAGTTCCATAGTTTACTTTCTGAGCCTCTGCCTTAGAGAAGCAGGGGAAGAGATGCTGTCTTCTAACACTTGTGAAAACCAGCTTCACAAGAAATTTCACTCTTCCTGAAACTGAATCCAAAACTTCCAAGTTCTGTGACATTTTAGATTTGGAAACTGATCTTAGCTTCATATTATATGGCCGTGTTGACAGTTCAGTATCAGAGCAAAAGCTATAGAAATAAATACATATAAAACAAAGAGATGGCAGAGCTATATGCACATATATATATACACACATATACACACAAACACAGATACATATTCAGGAGAGGCAATATTAGCTTCAAACATATACAGGCAGCTCTTTCATCTCTCCTTTTGTTTTGCTGACAGATGAATGAAAATATACAGCCAAGAGAGCTGAAACTAGACAAGGCCAAATGGTGATACCTTAACTCGTTCTGAACAACTTACACCATAAGTAGTTCCAGTGTAGTCAGTCGGACAGTTAATGGAGGAAGTTACTCCATGGGATTAACAATGTTGCTCTGATCCTTCTTTTTTTGGCTGAGGAGTACAAAACTACTAAATTCCGTAAGAGCTACGTTTTAACAGACTGGTTTTCATTATCAGTCTTTACTGCATGGCTTCATCTAGTCTCTGGGCTAGTAAGCTTTTGAGACAATTCTTTAAGGCCGAATTAACAAACACGCCTTCAAAATCTTTTGTTTTGTCTAGTCTGATAGACCTCAAATGGAAGAAATGTTGTTAAAGCAACAGCAGTTACCCTTAGTCGTAGTCCTAGATGTTTTGGGGATCTTGTTATACCTATAGACCATTGTTAAAATTTCAGTGCTGTTATTACGAGTTCTTAATTTTGCATGAGTTCACAGCAGTTTAACTGGTTGTAATCTATTTGTTATTCCACACAATGCTGAATCGCCACTCATTGATTTTTACTTAAGAGTAGACTTTTCTAGTCTGTCTGCAAGAAAAACTAGAATGAATTTATAGCTCAAGACACAGGAAAAACTTAGAATGTTGCACAGACTGGTATGCTTATTTTGACAGTTCTGGTGATGTAGTTTCAGCCATAAAAGGCACACCTTTTTTAAGATGTGGAGAACTCTCAAGAAGCAGATGACATATGAATTTATAAGTTATTAAAAAAGGCTTGTTAAAAATCTGGTGTACGATTTTTTTAATTGTAGAACGTAATCAATATGCATTTTTAAAGGGGTGTGATCATTAGCAAAACAGACAAAGGCACTCTCTCAGCTCTTGCCAACAACTTTACTGATGCAGCAAACCTGGTGTTATGCAAAGACCAGTAATCAGGTACATAAACCAGTGTTTCATTTTGCAGCAAATGTAAAGACTACATTTACAATACTCCCCATGCTCAAGGAATCCAGTTGGTTGACATTCACATTACTCATTACGCATTCACAGTGTATTGTGGGAAAATGGATGTATAGCCTCTAATACCTGACCAAGGAATAATGTGTCCAAAAGATATAGCATAAAATAAACACTGCATCTAGGTATTATTTAACTTAACAAGTGTCACGTCCTACTTACAGAAGGATGTGCACTTGATACACATTTTGCTGGAGAAGGTGAAACACGGATAGCTGTCATCCTTATTGACCACGTTTTATGAACACAAGTCATATGTAGAACCAGTCACGTCATTGATTTGAATGGCTTTAGAAGTTGTAGTCCTGGATATGTGAGTGATGAACAGGAGAGAGCCTGCTATTGTTCATTTTCCCTAGCCAGTTTGAGCTTGTATTTCAGAGGCAAAGATCAAATGCACAAAGCTACACTGTACTAGAAGTAGAAAGTTTTTCCAGCTGATGCTTTATGCAGCATTTCCTTTTGTATTCTTCAATTTCTATCTACTGACCTTGGGTTCAGAATTAGAGGAATAAACAGTCTCTTAGAAGAAATGCCATGGTGTTCTGTGCATTAGCTAGCAAGCACTGGAGAAGAAAAATAATTTTAAATATCTATTTTTTTTAAGTTAAAATAGTACACAACAATAGTGCTGTGCTTGAAACCAAGCGAAGAGGTTGAAAATAAGTATATCACTTCTCTAGTCAGCACAGTAATCATAAGGCTCTAAGAGGGAAACAAGGATAATAAGTAATGCATGCACACCCCATATCATACACATGCTACCTCCATGGCTGTCTTTTCTGCACAGCATGCTCTTAAAGTGCTTACTGCATGGAGCCCTGCAGGCAAGGAACAATGGCTGCTGGAAAATTCCAGAGGAGGTTTGGCCTAAGCTTATCAGTGTCTAAACTTGAGTGGTTCTGAATGTACCTAGTAGCAGAAACTCAGATGCACAAGTAGCAGCTGAGCGGGAGAGGGCCGAGGACATCAGGGGCTCTGAAATGTTGGGGTTCAGGGCCAAATGTGGCAGTTCAATGCCTAAATCCCCCTGTGGATCTAGCTTTTCAATGCTTAACCAAACCCAATACACCTTTGGTCTTTTGCTCCACAGAACAAAACATGAAGAAAGGGAGCAAGGTTTAAAGAACCACCTTAGCCCCAGCTCTAAGACAGATCTGAATTGTGCGAACAGATTTTAAATCTGGTTGCCTAAGGTCACAATTAAGTAGTGCATTTAAGCACATACTTATTTTTAAATAACTGAAGTGGTTCCACTGTCTTCTACTACAGGAGGTAACAGTGGCCTGCTTTAATTGCATAGCAATGAAAATTTCTCTAATAAGGTAATGACAGTGTATCCTGCCCGTCATCATACACAGTGGATGCGTCTACACATGTGGTAGACTACTTCAGACTACTTAAGCACAGTTATTTGTAGCTGCTACTGTGCAATAGTGTCGGCATCACGGTTCATGCCTGGCAACACTACATCATAGTAGCTCATTGCTATGGTGATGTAGTGTCTTTAGTGTCCAGAGCATAGCTAGTAGTTCAATGAGTCCCATTGCACAGGATTTGTTAACACCTTTCAATTGACCCCTGTCCCTCCCTCATGACCTGATGCTCAGTAAAGGTGCCAGGCCGACATAAGTGAAAACTGATACACTCAAACTCCAGGTGTGATATTGGTCGGTCCACTACGGTGCTACCTGCTATGCAAACATACCAAGGCAGTTCCTGTTCCAAAGCAGCTTATAGTTAAAGGCCCAGATCTGGTAAGCAGCTTTCTGCTGACAGAACTGAGGACATTAGACTCCAATAGGCTTAATGCAGGTTGTCAGTTGGGAGTATCAGATGAGACAAAGAAAAAAATATTAATTTTAAGTGGGTCACTGATAGCCACATTACTAATAGTTTGAACTGTGACAGGTAAGTTTCTCCATTTACACTTCTATGCAAAGCACTACTTACACCGCTAGACAAAATTATTGAGAGCTGCTGAATGTTTTAACTCCACTTCAGAAACAGACGTAAGTAATTAGCTCTACATCTTTTCTCTATTTCCTACTTAAGCATCTGGGCATAGCACTTTGCTCATTAGGTGGTGAGAATACCATTATCTGATTGTTTGATTCTCTTAGAAGGATTTGTGCTATTTTCTCCTAATTTTCTCTGCATAGTCCTTACATAAAGTCCCTGGAAGGAAAAAAAAAGGAAAAAAAGACTTTAATCGGAGAAATTGTAGGCAGCTGTTCAATGTCTTTTCTATTTTTTTATACACAAGATTACTTCAATTCTGTGCAAATAATACTTATCCAGTTGGAACTCTTATATTTGGGGATTTTATCCAATGATCTCAATTTGTGCCATAAAGGAAGCAATGCTTACAGATATCTGATGCTCCTATATCTGTTACAAATGGGTTATTCCTCATCTTCTAAGCACAATGGGGTTCTTTATACATGAACCAGAGGTGGGGAGGGCACTTTAAGTAAAATGGCTCCAAGAACCACTCTAATTAAAGTCCCCACACTATCTCCTGTATTCAGTATCCAGCATTTCAAAGTGGCAGTGGGGGCACTTTAAAGCTCATTCAACAAGCTTTAGTTAAAGTGTACCTGCAGCTATTCGGAAGCACGTGGGTGTTAAATGCATAAGATGCAGAAGCTGCTGGAGCACGCTAATTAGCACACTCCAATGTGCTATAATTACAGCATATCAGAGCAGCATCCCCGCATGTCTACAGGCACTCTAAGGTATTTTTAACCTCTCTGTACAGCCAGCAGGTGGAAGAGCTGCTCAAAGAACTGCCTGCCTCCCTTTGCCTTACCTTCATTCTAAACAGAAGGAGATAGTTCCTTGACAACTGTCCTCTCCCTCTCACCAAACAAGGTCATTCCTATTAGTATAATTTTCCTTCTCCTCAATGCCCTCCTGATAGAAAGGATTTTTGAGAACAGGAGTCTATGGCAAACTGGTGCATGATGAAAAAACATGACACTAGCAGAAACAGCTCCAATTAAAGAGGGTCCTGCTCCAGGCCAACCATGGAAAAAGGTCTGTCACCTTTGTAATTGAACAGTAACGTGACAGGCTTGAAACTGTTTGGAACAGAAATGCAATGGCAGAAGATGGTGCAGCAAAAGTCTCCAAGACAATTGTTTTTGACTCAGCCGTAGTTTCTTCTCAGAGCTCCAGGCTGAACTGAAAAGTAGCAGCAAGGCCTGAATCTCCAAGACTAACAAACAGATGTCACATTTGTCCTGGGACAAACCATTTTATCCCAGGACAAAAAGTGCAAGTGTGCAGACATTCATGTTTGTTATCCTGAGATAAATCCTACGGAGGTACACAAGATAAGAAGTACTAAGTTTATCTCAGGACACCTCAAAGCACATCTGAATGGTTATCCTGGGATTGCATTATTGAGTCAATGGCAGAAAAGTGGCAGTGCATTCAGGCACTCGCTAAACCCTGTTTAGAAGGGTGATACGTATACATGCCGATCCGGGAATATTTCTGTTCTGGAACAAACACAGGCACATCTTGTCCAGGAACAAGTGCAATGTCTATTTCTAGCCCAAGAGTAGCAACATGGCAGACTGTATTTTATCTGCTTGGGAGCTAAAATTCAACAAACAGAATTTTAGATATTACGGGAGTTGTGTGTATTTTTACAAAAACAATTTACTCCTAGACTATGGTGTTAAGCTGCCCAATTGCCAGCCTTTATTTTCAACGACCTTCTGGGAAGACTCTCCTAGCTTACCCTTTTCTAGAGTTTTTGAAAATAAAGATTATATATCTAATAAATGCATGTATAGATGTAATAAATAGATATATAAATAAAGACCTGTCTTCTTGAGTTTCACCCCAGAACAGAATAAACCTGACATGCTGTTTCTTCCTTACTTATGGCTCTGCGGTCATTTCTTCATAGTTTCATAGCTGTTAGAGGCTGGAAGGGACCTTACACATCATCAGGTCCAGCCCCCCTGCACTAGGGCAGGAAAGACTGCTGGGATCAGATGACCCCAGCAAGATGGGCAACAAGATGCCTCTTGAAAATCACCGGGATGAATGACTCTACCACCTCTGGGGGTGGGGAGCCTGTTCCAAACCCTCAGCACTCAACTCGTAAAGAAGTTGAGTGCTGAGGGTTTGGAACATGTTGAGCCTCAAGTGGTCTTCAATCAGTCTATAACCATTATTTCTTGTCCTCCCCTGAAGGGTCTTGGTGAATAGATGCTCCCCTAAACCCTGATGTACGCCCCTGATGTACTTGTAGGCTGCCACCAAGTACCCTCTGAGTTTTCCCTTCTCCAGGCTGAACAGCCCCAAGTCTTTAAGTCTCTCCTCAGATGACATGGTCTCTAGGCCTCTATTCATGTGCGTGGCCCTCCTTTGAACTCTCTCGAGCTTCTCCACATCCTTCGTGAAGTGTGGTGCCCAGAACTAGATGCAATACTCTAATACTTTAGGGGTTCAGGTGCCCCCTGAGGGCAAACCTCACCATACACTTGAGCTTAGTCCAAGAAGTACTTTTCTTTTTCTTTTTAATTTCACATTTCAGGCCAAATCAGCCAGATCAGTTCTGAATCCAATTAGCAATTGAACGTTCAACTCTGTGTGGCGCTATCATTGGCAAATATCCTCCTTTCCAGGCTCTTCAGCCTGGGCTTCAGATACTCCCAAATCCATGGCAGGCATCCTACATGCAGGCCTCAAGCCCAAAGGTCAGTTCAGATGCCCCAAGTTGGGGCATCTAAAATTCTGCTAGGCAGAGGCTCCCAGTGGGGAAGGGTGGGGGGAGGGCAGGTCCAGGCGGGCCTTGCTGCTGAGCTCCTTAGTCCTGTTCCCGGCTGCCCCTGGGTCTTACCACCCCCTGGCTCCTGTCATCTTTTACAGGCAACCAGGAGCAGATAAATATTAATTTTCTTCATTAGGAACACATCTCAAATTTTACGCCTGTCCTTCAGTTTGTCTGCCAATTTTGTATTTTTTTTAACAAGTCCCACAGAAAAAATGGGAAAACAGGTAATTAGATCAAATATATTACAGTGAAAGAAAACCAGCAGGAGGATGTTTAAAAGAATCGGATCGCTTTCAGTTTGCAAAAACAGTAGAAAGAGCTCTTAAGGAAAAGGCAATTTAAAATTAAAATAAATTTATTTTTGCCATAGATCTAAACACATTATTAGTGTATCTGTCTTTAGTAAAAAGGGGTACACTATGAATGTATGAACTCTGAACAGTGTTTTACTGCTCTTTTACTTCTCAAAACCTACATCCAAAATTCAAATCAGGTATAGCTACTTACTGAAAAGCATTCAAAATGGCTGAGTGTACATAGTGGACAAGTTAGTGTCAACATTTACCTTTTCACTATCTTAATTTGTAAATTATTCAGCAGTCAGCAACATTTTTCTGGTCACAGGCTAGAATTACCCAGCTTGGTTCAAAGCCAGTGGTAGGATCCAGCTACCCCTACCACTTCTTTCTTCTGTAGCATGGAGGAAGCAAATAGTTGGGGAAAACAACAATTTAATAAATCAAGCAGATTTGCATGGCCAGTCTAATAAATCATGACATCCTTCCTGTTATTTTATTAACTGTCAATATAAAAAACCTGATCTCTGTTACCACTTACAAAGGTTTTTATACAAAAACAAAAATTTGTTTTACCCAATAGTATTGGGTTGTCCACTCAATCAGCATCTAAAGAGACAGAGTACAATTCAACAGTAAAAAATATTAGACTTGGTGTTTTTGGCTATGTCCAATTAACCAAAAAATTAAAACAACGATGGACTTCCTTTTGAATAAAGTTCTGACCCTCCAGAAGACACAGCTGTTTGAGAAAAATGTCAAATAAAATAAATAAAAAATGATTAGACAGACAGATAGACAGACTTTGTAAGAAAAGCAAAAATGAGGTAACAAAAATCCTGGTATCAAAACAAGAAAAAAGTGAAATCACATTTTCTCACTGCCCCTAGGAAATGGCAGGCCAGTTACTGCCCTGGTGAAAGGTGGGTTGGGGCACTTTATAACCCTAGGCCTGCAATTCTGGTGGTGTTCTAGTGAGCAGGGGGAGCCCAGGGCTCAGTTAAGGAGCTCTGAGGCAGAACTCAGGCTGGAGAAGGGACCTGGGGCTGAACCCAGGTGGCAGAGGAAAGCCTGGGGGTGCGAGTCAGACCCTGTGTGAGAGGGGCGGTGAGCATAGTGACCCTATGTGAGAGGAGCAATGATTAGTGAGACCCCGTGTGAGAGGGGCGACAAACAGAGCAGCCCTATGAGTGTGGGTGAGTGAGGAGGCCCAGTGGGAGCATAGTGGCCTGGTAAGGGGCTAGGAGTGAAATAGGCCTACAGTTGTACAATTTCTCAGTCAATGTTCAGGCAAGGGTAGTGGGAGATACCCAAAAGACTGTGCCAGGCCTAACCAAGGCGAGCTAAGCCCATGGCCATGTGGCATGAGTGTGGCCCCTGAGAGGGCAGCATGAAAGAGGCTGAAAGCCAGCAGAGTGAGTGGGACCCCAGTGAGAGAGGGGTGGTATGTGAGTGGCCCTTTGGGGCTGTAGAAAAGAACTACAACTGTGCGTCCAGTTTGCTTCAGCTGTAGGCTGGAGAAGTAACACCAAAGTAACATCTGTGAGGCATGGGACCCGTGGAGGGAAGGTCAGAGCGGGTATTAGGCCCTTGTCAGCAGGGCGAGTAATGGGTAGCCTCCCGCCTTACTAACAACTCTCATATTTTTCCATCAAGATGTGGGAGGTGAGCAAAGCAGGCAGTTACCCCAGGGTTACTCCAGGAGCATGGCAGCCAGTGAAGACCTGATGAGAAGGCCACCCTATTACAGTCCTGCAAACACAAAGACATCAGCCCCATTGAATTGAGTGGAATTACAAGATTATGGTCTAAATTTGCAGTAATTTCTGGTATTTAATTTCACACGTATTTCAGATTTACCATTTAATCAAGCAGTCACCTACACTGATGAAGTAAACATTAAGTAACAGAAGTACCTGAAAGGATGGACTTTAGTCCACTAAAGTCCCTATCTATTTTCTGTAAACACTTTTAACCTATTCCCCAGAAATATGATCAGATATCCTTCTATTATATGCCTGCAATAGACAGACTGGCCTCCCTGAAACCTAAATGGGGTATTTGATATTTCCCTCATCTTTCAGGAAAAGAAATCCACACCTATCCTGCTTCTAACCATAACCTTAACTAGGTTCCAGAAATCATTGGGCTATACTGAACTGAGCTGACAAAGTTGTAGTCATAGGAATCATATGAGCGTAGGGCTAGAAGGGACCTCAAAGTCATCTCTAATGCAAGTAGCTCCTCAAGACAGGACAGTTTAAGTGGCAGTATACATTTTTAAAAAAATGCTGTGAAGCAAATTTATACTCAAGGTTAGTTTCTCTTTTTGATGTCTCCCCTGCATTCTGAGAGAGGTCACTGCAAAAGGGATCTTGTTTTTGAAATAAGTGCTAGAGAATCTCTTCTAACATGTTTTTCATCACCACCTTTTTCTTTTTGTCTTTAATAAATGTCTCTTTTGTTCTTGTATGTTAATATTTTGAATATTTCTATAATTTCTTAATGAGTTAATAGACTTCAAGGACTGGAGATGAAGATATTTAGTAATTAAATATAAGTTATTGCCTTGACAATGCAAGATTGCTGACTGCAGGAATTTTTCAGGTTTTCCAAAATTTAGTTTTAAAATGCTGCACACAGTAGCAAACTAACCATTGCCCATAGAAAATTGCTACACAGCTTACTCAGCCTTACTATAAAAATGTTTTTTCTTATGCATAATGTAAGCATTTATGATCAGTTTCCCTTCAATTCTCCTATGAAACTTTAACTTCTGTACATCTTTTGTATTTATATCTTTCAAACTCTTGTAAATTTTATATACCCACTTCATGTTTTATGGATGACTGTCAGCTTCCCTCATAATCCAGTTCCCACAGTCTGCAAATCATTCTTGTCATCTCCGAACTCCAGGCTCTTGTAATATGAAGCCCAAAGAATGAGGTTTGCAAATAGAGTAAAATCCCTGTTGTTAGACCCCGACTTCATGCCACGACGCCCGATGACTAGGGAGACAACGAATCGATGCCATCAGACATCATCTGCACACACTGCTTGTCAACAGCTTTATTCAAAATGGAGACAGCTTCAGGCTAGCTCCAACAAACCAGGGAGCCGCAGTGAACGTTATTATTTTTTTCCATATTTATACACCTTTAATTAACATTTACCCCACCTTTGTCCCTCCTTTGTTCCACCCTTAGTCCTTCCCATTTTAAACTCCGCCTCTGTTTTACTGTTTGTTTCATTAACATGGAATTGCTTATGTATTTTACTTATTCATCTTTTTGTATGCCTAAGACCCTGACCCCACTTCTTCAGTCACTTGGGCAGACTTCAACTAAAGCATGGAAGCTTCTGGAGGCTTCTTTACCAATCACCATTCACCTTTTCACATATGTTTATCTCAGATTCTTTTACCAGTTACGTGTTGTCTTTCACATTCCAGTTTGTTTTTCAGTCCCATGTTGTATCATCTCCATATTCCTAAGACTTCACCTCATTCACAGCACACAGACTTACACAGACTCACTTGAAAATGGTTGACACAGCTGCAATGGCTACTTAGCATACACATTCATAAGCAAAATCTGCTTTACCTTCTAACATTAACCGGTAGTTTGCATCCTGTTTCTTTTATACAATGAGCTATATATCTTGCAACACTACTATAGTGTTAAGAAAATGCTTGCCTAAGTATCTGCAATGTTACTTTTAACATACCATTCTGCCTTGTGGTTAGCAGCTCTTCTAGGCCACAGGTTATAGCCTTTTATTCAGCTGCAGATCCAATGCCCCCCAAGATCCAAATACTGTCACTCTAACACCTGTTATCCAGCATTCTACAACACTATTAACTGGAATTTGGCCGGCCGGATGCTAGGGAGGGCGGAGAAAGCTTGCATGCTGCCAGTGCTGCCACTCTGCATGCAGCCACTGCCACCTCCCTCCCCGCTCCCCCCACCCCCCTGCTCTATGTGCAGCCACCAACATGTATTCCCCTCGGCCGCATCCCCTGCTCTGCGTTATCTGCTTCAGATAACCAGAATTTTTACATAACCAGCACTCGGCATTCCCACTTATGCCAGATAATAGGGATTTTACTGTACATTTAAAATTTAAACATCCTAACAAGAACTTTATAGCAAAAAAGGCATGAAATTGAGAACTACGTTTCAGTTTACAAGAAATCAAATTTATGAAAGTAAAAAACATTCTGTTATATTTTGGTAGTATATGCTTCAACCCTGTTACTCACAAGCAG